TACCAGGGGACTACTCCCCTTGGCCGCTGCAGAGCCCAACCTTCAATGAGCGCCTCACGCCTTTACTACCTCGCTCCCTGTGTTGAAATTCAAAAATTTAAAGTCGATGAAAGGTATATATGGACGTATTTCTGTCAAACAGAACTATGTGCATTAAGACGTGAGCCTTGAAACCCATAAGATACAGGGTTATTCAAAAGTCACGCACCACTGGCCATAACTTAAGTTCTAATTATGATATCGACTTGCAGTTTATGACGTTTTTTCTCATACCAAGGGGGAGACTTGTTCACGTACTTTTCAGTTTTTGATCCCCTCGGGGGAAGGGGGGGAACTCAAAAATTTCAAATGGCCACCCCCCTCATGGCCAGTGGTGCGTGACTTTTGAATAACCCTGTATATGCGTAACAGGACTCACGTCATGATGCACATAGTTCCGGTGGGCAGAAATAGTCCATTTAGAGGTCGTTTCTCATTAATACCTGCAAAAGGGATTCCTAATAGATCTACAGGACCGACCGCGTGAAAAAATTAAAATTTGAGGACTAAAAGTGTCATCCGAGGACTAGCTTTAAGAATTTCCGAGGAAAATCATAGTGTTTTTCGGGCGGAAATCCGCTTTCCCGCGAAACTTAGATAGAGACTTAAATATGGACGTATTTCTGCCAAACGGAACTATGTGCATTAAGACATGAGCCCTGAGACTTATGAGAATACATGCATAACAGGGCTCACGTCGTAATGCACATAGTTCCGTTTGACAGAAATACGTCCATATACACATCCCTGTATAAACGGTACGGGCATGTTCACGGGAATAATCATGTTCCCCGTTCCTGATGAAAGATTTTCCCTGAATACTTTGATTCCTAGAGGAATCAAGGGGTGAGAATGTAACCCTACTCCCCTTCCTCCAATGCCATCTAAGTCGTTTTGTTATGATATAATGGACCAGTTGCGCTAGTAACAGAATCGTGTTCCGGTAATTCCTCTTGTAGATCAGCTGAAAATAACTGGATCCGTCCAGACAGCAACTCTCTACGTTGAATATTAACGGAGATATCGTCCTTTGAAAAGTCGGGTTGACGTCATTCACCGCGGTAGTGCATAACATGGTATGTGCTCTAGCGGTATATGACGTCATGAATCGAGTTTTTCAAGGCGCGATATCTCCGTGAATATTCAACGTAGAAAGTCGCTCTTTGGAAAGATCTCATTATTTTTAATCGATCTGCATGAGTAAAGGATCAAAGTTCGAATCTGTGACCAGCGCAATAACTGACCCATATTGACAAAATTCTGCATGCATATAGTTGTACAAAAAAAAAAAAAAAAAAAAAAAAAAACGAGAATACGTTCGTATTTTTTTCTTCGGCGCTATGAATTTTTCCACCCTTTGTTACAGATATGATGCCACTGGAAAAAAAAAAAGTCCGGTAAATCTACGGTAAAACTAGTTAGGATCATATGGAACCACGATTTTGTTCGGTACACACGACCGAATTATTCGGTCTGCTCAGCCGAACTGTTCGGTCCACTTAATCGAACTGTAAGAATTTATTATGGTTCGATCGCACAAACCGAACAAAACCTGGTTCCATGTGATTCTAACTAGTTCGGATTTACCGATTTTTTTTTTCAGCGATGAGACATTGTGTAAGCAAGATACACCTAAAAATCCATTCTTTACTGTTTTTGTGGGGGACTATCACATCTTATAAATTGAAATAAATAAAAAACATTAAAAAATAGTGAAAGAAATTGAAAAATAATTCTCAGAATTTTAAGAGGGAGAAGGGGGCCGCTCTCGCCCCATACACGCGCCGCCATTGCTTAATTGTATTGGTCTTTGTGAGGGCCGACTCTTTAGCGCCTCTCGATACCGCCCGCGATACCCCGAGCCCCGCTCGTCGATTTTATGATTGACATCGGTGGAAGTTGTAAAGTGAAAGCGACTCCCCTCGCCCTCCCCCCACAACTTTCTTTTATAGCGGAGAAGTCAATAGGTATAGCTCAGGAACTGGGTCATATCTCACCTCTAAATAGGTTAAACGTTCGGTTGGCGGCACGGGAATCTGCGGAAGGGTGAAAAAAACCCTTGTGCACGTAGCTCGCGACGTTGCCACACCGCGCTGAAAATGATAGATTTCCGAAGGGAGCACCCACCTTCCTCCAATCGCGTCGGCAGCTCAGCGCTTTTTGCTCGAGTGAAGGGAGGAGGAATTCTGTCCGCCCCATTAAGCCGCTTCTAAGGCCAATCTAATGAATGACCCAGCCGTGCGGGTCACCTGTTCCATTATTTGAAGGCGCGGGTCCCGCGGCTTTTCGGATGCCATTCGCTTTGCGTGCGACGCCGGGGAAACCGAACTGCGCCCTTATTTTGCGTGCCGGGATGCGGCTTAAATTAGGACAAGATTCTACGTACGGGCATCGTATTGCCTAAGTATCACGCCGCAATAAATCATTCCCCTAAGTCGCAGAATCATAATTTAATTGGCTGATTTAGTAACTACCTCGTGCGTTTTACTTAGCTTTTTGATGATCCCATTAGTAAACAAACATATGGATTGCATTTTGCAAAAAGGAACCACGAGCATCGCAATGTTGCTAAGATTGTGCAACTTCTTTTGACTCGGATAACAAACCTGATTATCCATCGACAGTTTCTACTTTCCTCGCTGAAATCTGTGACACTGAGACAAAAATGACCGTGTGGATTTCATATTTTTTATGATTTCAATTATTTTACTGCAAAGGATGAATTTGCACAATTTTAGCATCATTGCAATGCTTCCAGTTCCTTTTCGCAAATTGCAATTTTCATGACCTTGTTATATTTGCGCCATTATGTTTAATTTTTTTTTTTTTTGCAACCGAAGTTTCTTGCGTTTCATTAGTAATTAATTGATTTGTGATATGTTCATATCAAAATGGGTGACCAGACAAGGTTTCAACAAAAATAAAGCATCATGGGTTACCTCTTCAAAATTTTACGTGGAAAACTATTCGAACAACGGGAAGTTCGGTGGTGAACCTCTAAACAAGATACTAACAAGTATTTTCAACACAGATCAAGTTGGGTCATACACAAATGACGTCATTTGTATTTTTCAAATGCATTTAACCAATGCTAATATCTTGTTTAGAAGTTGCTTTCCAAACTTCTCATTGTATGATTCATTTTCCTTGTGAAATTTTGAAAAGGAATCAAGTTACACAGTGCTTTCTAAATTGAGTCAGTTTATCCTCTAATAAAATTCAAAAATTATGCTAAACGTTATTAAATACGGATCTGAGGACTTGGTGAGTTCTCGGACTACCGCTCTCTTTTTGTGCCGTAGTATATTGATTTATTTTGCAAGGAAAGCTCCGTACTCTTAAAGGATGCCTATCGTTCTATATGCGTTGGAGCGCCTTCAATTTCGTATGATACTGTGCAACACCTCCGTGGCGGTATAGTTGCTTGAAGCGCCGTGGCAAGCCGCCGCGGCGAGCGGCCTCGCTGTGGCGCCTTCAAACCTAACAGGGATACTTCATGCATTGCGCAATGCGTGAAGTATCCCTGTTAGGTTTGTAAGCGCCAGTGCGCGTTTTGCGATGGCAGCAGTCAGCACGCCGCTCCGCTCCGTGTTTGGTTTGATATTTAAAGTTGCTAAGTCAGCGTTTTTCAACTGATGATTATGAAATGTTTGCACAATCTGCAGGCAAGGATTGTTCTCATTTAAATTGATGAAAAAAAAATATGTATTAAAGGAAGGGTTATCATGTGTTTTGTAAATATTAAGGTGGCCTCTGGTCAAATTTAATGATTTCTAAAGCACTCTAATATTTTCTTTTATATTCAGTGCTTTTACTGTGCTGCAACGTGGTTCCCGTTATGGGCATATTTTTTGCTTGATTGCATAGGCTAAGTAAAAACTTATGCGCAAATAGTCACGACACTGAATGAGAATGCCTCTTGTTGTTCATTTGAATTGCACTACGCAATAAGGAAATACTGTTTCTGACTCATCCATGAAAGCACCTATCCATCTGGATGAGACACCTATATCTAAAATAATTTACACCCTGTCCAGTGGCCTAGTGTAATAAATGAAGTATCATATCAATGTTGAAAGGGCGGAGGGGGACTCACAACTTTATCGCATAATATAAAAACAAAACCCGAGTCTTATTTTCGCGATCTAAATAAAACGGAATTTATAAGGGACGATTACCGGCAAATAGCAGGAAAAATCATAGAGATCAGTCCTGTAGAACCGTTAAGTATACATCAGAATTGCTGTGTTCGATGAAAATATACTATTTCTGAGAGTGTTTCGTCCAGCACTCCTGAGTCCTGAGACTAGTGTGCGGCAACTGGCATTTACGTCCCTCGGCTTCCTTTAGGTGCTGAGGTATAAAATGTATGTATTACATAAAAACTGGGAGTCTCTACATTATTTAATTTGTTGTAACTATTTGGTCAGCGTAATTTGCCAAACGCGAAATGAATAAACGCTAAAAAACACTCATAGCCTGCAGTTTTTTCCATAAGACGCTGTGTTAAAAATTTTGCATCAAGGACTATTTTAATCAGTCATCTTGATGCCGCATGCTTCACAGTCGTTTCTCACTTTCGGCGATCATAAGGCTAGAAACGTGCCGCTCGAGCATTGACTTCAGCGGCGATCTAGTGCAGAGCGACTCTAATTTACTCTATGGGTGGAACAAACTGCAAAAACTCAGAGAGTCAGCGAGCTTATACACTAGGAAAAATATTTGTGCTCTTGCGTTACTTCTGATTAGTGTAGGAAGTGAAACACAAACCAACCCTTTTATGTTGATTTTGGTACACTTTGCGGCAAATTTAGCGCAGAAAACAATGGAGAGACTGGGAAATTCTAGAGTCAACCGAGGATTTGGGTCGTTTCGTGTTTCACTTCCCATATCAACAAAAAACATCGGTTAATTTGTCTTACCGTGTATTAATGATGCTCCGGGTGAGGTATGAAAACAGATGCGTTGATCTATGCAATTTATTCAAGGGGTTCTTCGAGAGGACTATCAGAAAAAGAGGTAAAATTTAGACGAGAATCGTTTCTCGAAAATAGGGGGAGGGGACGTGGAAGAAATCAGAAAAATTAGAATCCCGGACGGATCGAGGAGAACCATTATTCCATGAACGAGGGATCGCTGAGAGCTCAGGGCAACCAGGCGGCGACCTTCTCGGAGATGGACTTGGCGATGGGGGACTCCTTGGCGGCTTGGATGGTGCGCATGGTGGAGCTGACGCCTTGGTTGAGGGTCTTGGCCATGCCGGGGCTGAGACGCTGGTTGATGCCCTTGTAGAGGTCGAGGCCCTTGTCGAGTCCGGCCTTGTAGAGATCGGCCATCTTGGCGCGAACGTTTGAGTTCATGACGGTGTCCTTGGCGTTGCTCAGGGTGTTGCGGAGGGATTCACGGGCGGCCTGCGGGTCGTGGTACATGTCCGAAACGGCCCTCGGGATACTCGCGGCCCTGTCCTTCAGGTCGGAGACGGTATGACTCAAGGCCTCGCGCGACGGGAGCATGTTCATTCCTGGAAGAGGCAAAGAAAAATCGTGTCCAGTTTTCGGTTCAAATTGTCCATGCACTGAGAAAAAAAGTATGGTAGAGTTTACCATACTCTGATACAGTGATACGAGTATGGTGATAAACACTAGACTTTTAGTATTATTCATCATATTATGGCAAGTATCACCAGAGTAGATAAGAAGAGAACAAGAGAAGGATCTACAACGCGATTGTCAAGAGCATAGTAACCTACGGGTGTGAAGTATGGCCGATGAAACACAGCGGACCCGAGAGGTTTTAGAGGCAACAGAGATGGACTCTGGCGTAGATCCGCTGGTATTTCCAGAAAGGATCGCGTCAGAAATGAGACGGTACGGGATATCATGGATGCCAAGCAGACCATCGTGCATGTTATTATGACAAAACAACTCATTTGGTATGGTCATGTCCAGAGAATGGCAGGAGACAGGTTGCCGAAGAAGGTCCTTGACTGGGTTCCTCCTGGGAGAAGACGCAGAGGGCGCCCAATGAAAGGTTGGAGGGAAAGGATTGAAGCGGAAATGTTAAGGTGCTCAATCCCCCAAGATTTGTGGTTTGAGAGAGAGCAGTGGAGGTTAGGAGTCGTAGAGCACGAGAGAGTGCTGTAAAGCGACTTATATGTATGTATCACCAGAGTTCTGATAAATACCGACATATTTCTGGTTATTTTCACCAAATAGTATCACTGTGTAAAAGATCAAGTGGACTTATAGTAGATGTCATCATACGCGGAGGTGGGGGATAAAGAACTCTCGAAAATTTCATCATATAAATAGGCATGATTTAAGGTCGCAAGGGCCCGACTGCCTTGCTAAGGAAAAACACCGTATGAGCCTTCAGGCGTTGTCAAATTTTCTTTGACAAATCTGTAATTTTCTGGAAAAGTTGTGAATATTTTTCTTCCAATTTTTCAGATACTTTCGTTCATAGTTGGATCTAAAATGTCTGAAAATGTCAAGGAAAAATATTCATAACTTTCCTCAAAAATACAAATTTTATCTGAGAAGATAGGGCAACTCTCGAATGTTTATACGGTGTTCTTCATTAGCACGGCAGCCATACCCTTGCCGTGCGTCATTGGAAAATATGATATTAAAAATAAGTAGCTGTGCTAAGTTTTCAAGTGAGAGCAAGAGTGATAGGCTACTCAACAGTTGATTATAAAATGGATTGCATTTTGCAAGAAGGAACCACTAGCATTGCAATGTTGCTAATATTGTGCAACTTCTTTTGTCTTGGAGGAAAACCCCGATTATCCCTCAACAGTTTCTATTTTTCTCACTAAAAACTGTAAATTTAAGACAAAAATTACCATCTAAATTTCGTAGTTTTTCACAATTTCCGCAATTTTATTGCAAAGGATGAAGTTGCACAATCTTAGCATCATTGCAATGCTAGTGGTTTCTTTTTGCAAAATGCAATCCAAATACCTCTGAGGGTAGTTATTTTAATTTGTGTTCGTCTGTCGAACGAAACTAGAGTAGTAGCAGTAGAGAAGCAGTAGAAGGAAACAAAATTTCAACGATTGGCTCAAGGTTTCCCAGCCTTTGGTTTCACTGCGCTAAAAACTGGATAGTATGATGTACCTGATTCAAGGAGTCCGCGTGTTTCAAGTTCATGGTCGGCGGCTCCTTCCACATCCAAATCATCCTCCCCCAAATCCTCGTCCAAGTCTTCGAGACCACGGGTGGCCAGGTGATCGATATCCTCCAAATCCTCAAGGTCCTCGAGGTCCTCGCCGGCCTCAGCATTGGCCTCCTTCTTCTTGCTGGCTTCCTTCTCCTTGTTCAAGTCGGTGATCTCATCTTCGATCGGGGTTTGCACGGAGCTCTTAGCCCATTCGGCGCCGGGTTCCGAGGAGGTGATGGAGCGGGTTGAGGCCTTGTCACCAGCCTCTTGGTGGAAGTCTAGGCCAGCCTTGAATCGCCCAGGGACATGCTGCTCAGCATCGCTGAAGACGATCACCAGCTGTTGGGAATGACGCGTTCGAGTCGGTTTTATTTGGATAGCATAATAAGAAAACGGAGGATAGGGGGCAATGGCGATTGGGCGTCGCAGAGCGCGAGGCGGCGCTATAAAAACGGCTTTATGTATGTATGTAATAAGAAAAGGGACGTATTTATGCTAAAAGGAACCACGAGCAAGCGTAAAGATGGGGCGTGCCCGTGCAAGCTGGATGAGAAACGATGTAAAAGTGGATATAGTTCCTTTTGAGAAAATGGAAAAGCGGGATTTGATAAAAACGGATTAAATCAAAAGGAACTGAGCGCTAACTCGTGAGCCATGGACATATGACAAGAGCATTGTGGATAGGGCTCATGAGTAAAAGCGCCCCGACGACGAGCTCCTCACCATTTTGCGTCTCGATCGTCACCGCTGACGTCACTGGCACTTTAAAATCCCCATTCACTCTCATGGCCCTACCACTAACGAGCACACCCCATCTTTCCACTTAAACATAGTTCTATTTAGCATAAATACGTCCATTAACGAAGAAGACAAGACAGGGATAGAAGCGTACTTTTCGAAAAGGCTTTTTTTTATGAAACTGAAATAGTTGCACTAAAAATAGTAATTTTGTGCCTTCGCAGCTTAACTATCCCTTAACGCCGCGGCTTTTTGCGAATTTAGACTTTTGAAAGTTATAAGTTAAACTGAGGATAAGTAAAGTGAATTGAATAATATGGGTAGCCGAATAGGATTGATAGTTATCAATCAAAAAGTTTTTTTTAAAAAGCTATAAACTAAATCAAGTATTGAAATCATGATTAAAATGCAACGTGATTTAAATGCAGGTCTATCAGTCTTACAGTGGCCAGGGAGTAGACAGGATTTGGTAAAAATTAAATTTTATTGGGTTTGGAAGAAGGTAACCCTAACGTTTTGAAAACTTTTAAAAATTTGGAGGGGGGTAATTACCAAAGGTTTGAAAATTTTCAACAAATGAATTCTACATGAAAAAGGGATGAATTCTCTCGACTGAAATAAAAGCGGTGTATATAGCGGTTCTCTTTCTTCTATATTGATCCGGTCCTCCGAAAAATTTTTGGAGTTTCATGATTACAAAGTTGAGATAAAAAAGTGTAAACACTATTTCAATTTATCATATTAAAAGAATTGAGGATCAAAAATGCATCGAATTTCCTGTAGAAAAATGATTTCCGATACGGAAAATTCGGAAATCAATTGCTGCAGCAGACATAAGTTTTTAAAGTGAACATCAGTTACCCGGCGAAAATGCAAGATGACGTCTAGTTCATGTTTTGCCTGGTGAAATTTAGAGAGGGCTCTCTCATTTTTTCATAGAAATGTTGCACTAATGAACGGTTGGAACTACAATTTGAAAGGAATCAACAAGTATATGGTAGTGGGGTAAGTGAACGTAGGCACCTGGTGAGCTGCCTACGTGGCCATTGCCATTTGATCTTAATCTAGTGTAAAGCAATGCAAACGCTTTAGTGGCTGACAAGAGTTCAAAAAGGAAACTGTATGAGGATTTTTACGGTAATTCGATCAATTTTACGATATTACTCAAAATTACCTACTTTAAAATTCAAATTGAACAATTCAGAAAAATTAGATGGACTGCAATGTGAAAAACCTACAAGTAGCTATCAGAATACGTAAAACGTTACTATAATTGATTTTAAGTGTTCATTTTAAGGCGGGTAAGTAGCAAAGTAAGAAGAGGTCCTTATTTAGATTATTCTTAGAAGTAGAAGAATGAGAAATTTATTGAAATTTACCTGGATTGCAAGGGTCACACAAAGTATTCCTAGAAACGTTCTCATTTTGTAGTAAAGTTGCTCGAATGAAAACTGACGTTAGCAGTGACGGGATCTGCTTTTATAAGAGCTTTTGCCAGGCTCGATCACGAGCCATACGTGTACTTTTTTGCTCGTCGCAAAACAGGATGACGTAGACTTTGCAGACGTGTTTGTCAATTGAAGATGCCGAAAACCCTGCACTCGCACCCGCAAAAAGCGGCAAAATCCACAAAAACACAGCTGAAATTCTGAGCCTTTGCGCGCAGATCGCTGTTTGCAAGCCACTTGCGTGACTTTTGTAGACGCGGATTTTTTATATTGCTTGCGTGCGCTTCTCCGATGTGATGTAAAGAAAAATTTTCGTGTGCAAGTTTTTTCTTCGGAATAGAGTATGGTATGTAGGCTTATGAGCTCGAGGAAAATTCCCTTATATTTTCAGGATCTTCGAAAGTTTGTTTTTTCTCGACTGTGATTTCCTTCGAAACATCGAATACAGTGTCAAACTTGCGTCATACATTTCCCTCTTTATGTGTTAAAAAGAGAGAATGGTAGTATAGAAAAAATAATATTTTCAGGCATTTTAAAAATTCTAAAAAAAATGTTCCGCCATCTTTAAAAATCCTTGAAACATGTTTCAAAAGTTTTTGATTTTACTAATGAATTCATTGAAAACTTTTTTCGTCGCAAAAAGAAGAGTTATTTGTGATAGAAATTACCAAAAAAGGGCCATACACAGGAGGAAATAGTAACCTGTACTTTTAGATTAACATGAGCAAGACACAAAGTAATTATAACGTCCGGTTAATATATTTTCCTCAATTTTCCTTTGGGTTACATTGACCAAATCTTCGGTTAGAAAATGCGGAACCTTGTTGAAAAATAAGTCGCAAGCCACCAGTGTCGAACCAGGATCTCGGTGGTGATAGTCCATTGCGCGAGCCATTTGCAAGTCTCTTCCTCTAAATGGCGTCAGGAAAAGCAAGAGTACATAAATTCCGGAGGACTTTTTCTTCATACCCAGATGTCTTGGAGAAACTTAAGATTTTTTTCGATTTAACCAAAAATTTGGTCAATCCACTGAGTCCTTTTGGCTGATCTGACTGAAAAAGAAGTAATTGAAAGTAACTCAATGTAACCATGATAAATATTTAACTGTGCAGCGGGCTGATTGTGAAATTGATAGACAAAGCTATAGACAAAGAAGGCAAAAGGGAACCTATTGATGGTGTTTGCAATGGACAAAGGAGTTAGGTAATAGACTAACTAACGGCAACCCACAAGAGATCCTTTGGTTAGTCCATCATTTACCCCCTTAGTCTATAAGAACCATCCATTTCAACCAATAGGATCGCTCCATGCCCCCTATGTCTTCTTAATCTATCGCTTTGTCCATCAATTTCAATAATCAGCCCGGAGGGTACGAAAATAGAGATACATGAAAAGAAGTATAAAGCTTGACTTGAACGAAACGCGAGACGGATGAACTCCTGTCTTCGATACGTTGGCGGTTTTAGACGACTGGCGAGGGCAGGATGATCGTCACGCTGAGAGGATGTCGGCGTTCTTCTGACAGAAGAGCGTATCTCCGTTTTCACGTGAGTCCCAGAGAGCAGAGAGCTATACGGAGAACAAGGCTCGAGCGGTTATCGAGTTACGCCCTTACCTCAGAGGAGCGACGATGTGAGAAAGACGGGCGAGAGTTTTACGAGACGAGGCATGTGTCAGCCCGATGACGGGCGGGGGGTTAAGATCCCCATTTTCGGGGGCGCCTGGGTCCCCCCTCCCCAACCCTCGCTGCAGGATGAAGTCATTTGATACGCGACACGAGCGCCTTTGTTTTTTCGCCCAGACGAGACTGCTCACAGTGGATCGAGTCAATTGGACGTAGTTCTGCCAAACGGAACTATGTGCATCAAGACGTGAGCCCTGAGGCCCATAAGAATACGTGCATAACAGAACTCACGTCATAATGCACATAGTTCCGTTTGGCAGAAATACGTCCAATTAGAGAGGTCGTACATGAAATGTTTGACGAAAACTGAAAATTTTGATGTTTATTTCGTCACAATTCAAATTTCAAGGGGTGCTTTCGCAAAAAAAAAATTTACGAGAAAACCAAAGGAACTACTTTTAGAACCTCAAAATTTTGTATAAACAGAGTCATAAGCGTTTGAAGTTTCCAAGTTTTGTCCGACCTCTCCTATGGACTCGATCCACTGTGCGGCTCCCAGAATTAAGCGCGAGTCTCACAAATTCACCGGGGCTCTCCTTGCTGAGAAGCGATTGAACACCGAGCACGATTGGCCGTATTTCTGCCAAACGGAACTGTGAACGTTATGACGTGAGCCCTGTTATGCATATATTCTTATGGGTCTCAGGGCTCATGTCTTAATGCACATAGTTTCAATAGTTCAAAGATGAAATGGAAAGAGAAGAATCGATTTAGAGTAGCATTACCGACAGAAAATCCTCCTCAAATTCAAAAAACAATAGTTTCCCGTTTATAAAATCCGTAATACAAATTGCGCAACGCTCTCCTCGACTGCCCTTCCTCTCTTATTGCGTTACGCAATTTATAAACGGCCCCTAGATTCTGTTCAGGGACCAGCATGCACAGCCTCGACTCATTTTACCAGGGCTCTCTCATTATTCAATCATAATTTAGCGTGGGGATGATATTCTGCAATTTAAGATGTGGCTCGCAATTAGCAAAAAGAAACCAGGGCGACTACAAAGTTTCCAAAACTGTGCAAGTGCTAATTTTCTCTCAAAGATACCCAATATACGTACTCTATTCAAACTTTCACAACAATCTTCCTTTAAAATTCAAAATTTGTTGCTGGCTAAGTCAAAATTGTTTGTTTCTCTGGGAATTTTTTTAGATAATTATGAAGAGGCAACATTTTTACATCACACTGGAAAAAAACACCGAATCTAGAGTTCAGACTCTTGAAAACATTGACAAGAAAAAGGACTCTTGGTTCAATCAGATTTAAGCTTAAATCAATAGGAAATCCGCTCAAATTAAGAGGCTTAGTTCTTGATTTAAGCTTAAATCTGATTGAATCAGGAGTATTTTTTCTCGTCGATGTTCTTAAGAGCCTGGACTCTAGATCCAACAGGTTTTTTTTTTTTTTTTTTTTTTTTCCAGTGCACTGTAATCGCGCTGGATCCCTTTCGCTAAGTGGGATCCAAATACTTTTTTGAAGTGTCCGAAAATTGTTCGCGCGAGATTCAACCTTTTTGAATTTCATGACATTTTACCATCCCCATCGCGCCCGAAAATGACCAATACGGCAACGCGGGGCCAAGATTAAGGCCTGCGATTTGTCAAACGCGGGGCTCACTGGGCCAACGGAGAACACAGCGGAGCGCGGGAAAACAATTAGAAGGCATGATAAATGGTGGCGCGGAGCCGACCGCCGTTCGCGCAGCCGATCGCAATCAACATCGAATCCTTGCTCCCAGTTTTTCCCGTCGAGGCTTTTAAGCTTTGACGCAAATGCCCGGAGATTGACAGGAGTCGCCGCACAGAGGAACGAGGTGTTAGAAGAAGTCGGACAAGAAATTGTTTGCTAGAATTTTAAATTTTGATGTTTATTTCGTCACAAATTCAATTTCAAGGGGTGTTCTTTTCCAGGGTGTCTAGCATCAGGAAAAACCGGAAACCACGGAAAATATCAGGAATTTTGGCCGATCAGGAAAAAATCAGGAAAATCGGAAAAATTAAACATTTTATCAGGAATTTATCTTACGCGAATTTCCTCAGCGGAGAAGTCTAACTGCTTTTTGCCTACCGTGCCAGGAGTCGTCGAAAAATCAGGAAAATATCAGGATTTTTCAAAATTAAAAAATACTAGACACCCTTTTAAAGATTATCTCACGCAAGACCCAATAGAACGACTCTTGAAGTTTTTTGTTTCATATTTTCGAAATTGTAAGCTTTCAAATTTTCCAGATTTTGTCCGACTTTTTCCATTGACTCTGTCCACTGTGCGGCGCTGAATGCGGTTCCACGAGTCCACCACGGACTCGCGCACCCGTGCGTAAGAACTTGAGTACGGAGGCAAAAACCACCCCAGACGCTTTTTGTTCGACGGGGCGTGTGAGGCCTTGTGACGTCCATTATACTCCGCGGGAACACCCCAAGTTTGTGTGTGGGAACCGTAGAGCGCTCCAGTGTGGGATATCTTCAGAGATCGCGTTCGGTTTGAAAATTGGGATTGATGGAAGTCGACAGGCCTTTGGACCGATCGAAAACGAAAAAGAAACGGGAAGTGTCTGAGGCCATTCATAAAATACGTAACACACTGGGGGAAGGGGGCTTGAACACGCAGTACAGGGGAGAGAGGAGAGAAGTCAAAGGCTGCGTTACTCCAAACTATGTCGTTAACGTGCTGTGTCGTCGCTGCATAACGCGTAATTCTGATTCGTCGAAGATTTAAGGTGAAAAGTTGGCAATTTTTCATCGGAAATGGGTTGCCTGTGTCATGTGTGCATGATGTGAGGGGAGGGAAATGGAAGGGAGTTTTAAAAAAATATATTAAATATGTAATGAATAAATTAAAATATTTGATTTTGAGCGTTATATATTTTATGGGCGCACCCTGATGTCCACCAGCCATGGTTGAAGGACATTTCGACCACGATTTTTTGTCCGCAAATCTGGTTCTTCTAGTAGTTTATGTCCCCGCGTGTTTTCGGCAGGGGAGTTCGTGCCGTAGTACCTTAATTTATATTTTTCGAGAAAAGCTTCGTACCCTTAAAGGATGCCTATCATTCTTAAAATGTTGGAGCGCATTCAATTTCGTTTGATATTGTGCACCACCTCTGTTGTGAAATAGTTGCTTGAGGTGAGGCTTCGTGGCACGCTGCGGCGCGGCGGGCGGCGGGCCATCTCCCAACGCACAATGGCGCCTACAAACCTAAGGGGATACTTCAAGCATTGCGCAATGCGTAAAGTATCCCCTTAGGTTTGTAGGCGTTAGTTCGCGTTCCGCGCTGGTAGCACGCCGCTCCGCTCTGTGTTATGGCTCGTAATATTTAAAATCGCGGAGTCGGTGTTTTTCAGTTCAAGATTTTGAAATTTTCGCACACTCTGCATGGATTTTCCTCATTTAAATTAATGGGGGAA